GCTGTGGGTGCTGAAGTGAAGTAAGGCAGTTTTCAGAGGGGGGGTTTTAGACCAGAATTTCCGATTTACCCCAGAATACATGAACAAGAATTAGGTTCAGTGACACACATTCACACCAGGCAGCGGAAGGACACGCAGGTAACAGGCACATGCTTTACACCAGGCTCAGCAAATCCAGAAATCCCCATGCAAAGCTATAGGAAAGCCTTTCCCTGCCTCCACTGCTCCCCAGCCCTGCACTGCATCTCTCCCTCAGGTGCTGGTGCTTCCCATCTCGCATTCCTGTCTCGCACTGCCTGGATTAACCCACTCCCTTTGTTAAACACCAGACAGATTGTTGACAATTGGTATTAAATTTTTGAAAGCACCTCTTCGGTATCAAAAATCTCTGGCTTACTACCACTGAAAACATTTTAAAAAATCCTCCTCAGTAAATCTTAAATCTCATCAAAGCAACCAGAAGTATTTACTACCTCCAGCCTCAGCATTCAGTTCCTCCAGTGGCAGTTTCAAACCTCCCAAGTCTTTTCAGTCTCGTTCTCCTTCTCTCCAAGCATCCTAATTCCTTGTATTCGCATCCTCTCTCTCCCTGTTCCCAAAGCCAGGGGAGGAAAACCGGGCAATGCAGCAGCTGGTTTTGCAAGAAAATGTTACAACAGCTGAGGCCAGATGCTCCGGAGGTTTCTCTGGGATATTAATGCCATGGGGCTTGTTTGGAGGAGAATTACTCAGTGTTGGGAGGTGACAACTCACCCTGGTTGGAGTTTCACTGGCAGGAGATGGATGAAGCTTCTACTGTGGAATTATGGAGTTAAAGAATGGTTTGGGTTGAAAAGGAACCAACCAAAAAGTTCCAACCCCCCTGCCATGGGCAGGGACACCTTCCACCAGCCCAGGTTGCTCCAAGCCCTGTCCAACCTGGCCTTGGACACTTCCAGGGATGGGGCAGCCACAGCTTCTCTGGGCAACCTGAGAATCCCCACCCTCATAGGGAAGGATTCCTTCCTGACTATGGAATCACAGAACAGTTTGGGTTGGGAGGGACCTTAAAGATGATCTTATTCCAATCCCCTTGGTGTGGACAGGGAACTTTTATCGTCCAGCTTCCAGGAGAAACACCTGCAAAATTCGGGTCTGAGGTCCTTGCAAAACTAATGTGTGAGTGGAAATGGCTGCAGATGGAGGGATTAGCAGAAGCTGACTCTTGCTTCTTTTTTTGATAACTAAGAGTGGCTGAGAAGCACATAAACATCCTCATTTGGGTGCCAGCAGCCCCCAGGACAGGGCAGCAGAGGACAACTAGAATTAGAGAAGGTTTCATGCCAGCATGGTAAGAGAATCAGATTAATGGATAAACTTTGGTTTTGAGCAATCAGTGTGAAATCCATCCCTCCTCACACGAAAACCTCTACACACTCACCCAGCTGCCCTGGCACACCTGGACCCACGGCCAGCAACACTCCTGAGGTCAACAACGGATCTGATCAAAATTTGGATGGAAACAATTATCAGAGGAACCTTTTCCTACAAGGGACAGAAAAATTATTCATGCCTTTAAATACTAATAATCATGAAATCTAAGGCAGCCTTGAGGACATGTTCCAGTCACCAGCTTTTTTCCAGTAAATAAACTGACAAAATGCTGCTGCACTGGTTCGAATCGGTGCAAGTTCCGTGGAAATGCACCAAATAAGCATCAAATTTAAAAGCATATTGGAACTGGACACGACCTTCAGCTGTGCCTGTACTGGCAGCACTTGGACAAGACACACAGACTGACATCTTGTACTCAAAAAGTGCTCAAAACCCGGGTGGAAATACAGGAAAATAATAGCACACCCCTGTCTCCAGGCTCCTGCTGGGAATGGACTGAGGTACTTGAGACACTTCTTGACATCCCACTTTGAAACTGTGACCTCTGTGGAGATGCGGGAGAAGGGTTGCAGACACGTCTGACTGCACACAAGAATCACAGCAATTAAGTAAATGAAATAAAAATGTTCTTTTCCACGATCCGAAGCCACGGTTAGTTAGGAACTGGTGATTTCACTTCAATAAGAATTACATGTTTTTTAATTGAAATATTCATGGCCAAGTGGTCAAATGGCAATATTTTAGTAATCCTTACGTATTTTCCTACGTCCTCTGTGCTTTTTCAAGTCCACATTACTATCCATTTGGCCTTCTATTTTTCCTGTTCCTTATCCTAAACACAAGTTGTTCTGAAAGATCACCAGTGATTTGCATAAAATATAGAGCTGTTACTTTTCTTTTCTTAAAAGAAGCATAATAATTGCAAACTGCAGCTACTGGAGCTGAAAATAACTCTCCAGACAGTTGCACATGCAGAATTAGATTAAAATGAGCTCATTTTTTTAAATGACCTGATAATTTGTAGGGGGGAAAAAAATAACTATCTAACTATTTTCATCAGCAGAGAATGTTACAGCCATGGAGGGGTGCCTGCTGCATGCAGATGAGGCAACCACGACCTAGGGAGGCCAAATTAACTCATCAGAACTGGAGGCTTGCAGACCACATTGAAATAACCATAAATCTCTTCTCCTGGAAAAAACAACAGAGGGGCAGATGGTGAGACATCTTGTACCACTTCAGGGAGAAATTCTATGGACAACCTGAGCAAAATGTTATGAGAAAAGGGTAAATACTTGAGGTGCCAAGCTGAGATCAGTCTTTTGTTCTCTCTCATCTGGCAAGAGCCTTGCACACACCACAGCCACCGTGCCTGGCAGGAGCAGAAGCTGAAATCATGGAATCCTGGAATGATTTGTGTTGGAAGGGCCTTAAAGCTCATCCAGTGCCACCCCTGCCATGGGCAGGGACACCTTCCACTAGCCCAGGCTGCTCCAAGTCCTGTCCAACCTGGCCTTGGACACTTCCAGGGATGGGGAAGCCACAGCTTCTCTGGACAACCTGTGCCAGGGCCTCCCCACCCTCACGGGGAGGAGATGTTTTCAGATCAATGGTTTTCTCTGACCAAGAGAGCAAATATGACCAAGATTTGAATTTGTTGGCCAAATCCAGTAAGTTTTTCTAACTTTACTGAACCAACAAAGGCTTCCTAATTTCTGGGAGACAATTTAGAAGCCAAATACAGAATGAGAAAGTCTGTTAATCTCAGTTTCCAGAGATCACTATAATGAATTACCATCACAGCCAGGTACAACTCCCTGCCCTAGTAAATTCGGACTAGTTTTATGGTTAACCTGTAGTATTGACAATATTACTAAAACCCCCTTGAGTGGGCTTTGCAGGTTTATAAATATAACCAATTATTTTGTTTTTGATGAGATTTAATTTAAATCTAGCAAAAAATATCCCCAAGTGAGTCATCTATTATTCATAACTTGAGATGAATTCAGCCTCCGTATCACAACTTTTCCTCCTCCTCCTTTTTCAGACCCATTGCTTCTACATAAATTAAATCATTCACTACATACACCCAAGTCAGATTTCCTTTTAGAAAGCCATGTTTCAGAGAAAGCAATTACATTTGGTCATTGATATATCATCCAAGCTATCAAAGCCCCCCCACAAATAGAAGAGGGCTTCCGATGTTAATGTGAACAAATTTTACACTTTGATAATAACTCTCTGCAGAGAAGAGGCTGCAATATCAGATGAGATAAAGGAGATCATCAGCTGATGGAGTGTCATCCACTCGAGATACAGTGATGGGAGGTTTGTGCATTGAACAGGGCTGAGCTGTAGGTGCCAGTTGTCCCCGTTCTCCATGACCGGAACGAATCGTGACAATTTGCGTCAGCAAAGTTCCACCCAAATCACGAGCAACTGTTGCTTCACCTCCAAAGCACCGGGAGAGCGGGCACAGTTCGGGCTGTTCTGCTGACATTCAGCCTCCTCCAGGCCCTGGTTGCTGAGGTTCATTAAAGGTGCAGCTCCAGAAGCCTCTGCTCCTCTGCAGGAGCTGACATTTGGCGGCTCAGCCTCGTGCAAACCGCGCCGGGCGCGAATCACTGACGGTCGTTCGGCCCCTTCCCTGCCGGGGAATCAACTGTAGCGTGGCAGGAAAACACAACCACGTCTGACTGAGCTGGGGGAGAGCGATTTCTCAGCAGGCTCAGAGGACACTCACCCCCGGTGAGGAGCGGAGCGTGACTCGCTGGAGGAGCCGCACGCAGCAGAAGCCGCTGTTGATCTGCAGCCCACGGGCTGGTTCCATTAATGATGCACTCTGCTGCACGGATTTTGGGATGAGGAGACAGATCATACAACAAGCTGCTTATCTGGAGTCAGGCCGGAGGCGAGAGGAGGTGATGTGAGCACAGCAGCTCCATCCTCTGGCCTCACCTGTGGAGGGGAGGGGAACAAGCAGCTAAAACCCATTAGTTTTGAGTTAAAACCCACAGAACACCCCATCTTCTTCCTTAGACGTTTTCTTCCTCAGACTTTTTCTTCCTCTTTTCCTCTCATTTTCTGTGCTTTGTACGTGCTTTTCTCATTTTGCTGTCCCTGTGCCCTCCCTGCCCTTGCCATGGCTGCCCACCCAGCCCCCACTGAGGCTGCACCACCTCCCATCTCCTGACTGGGGACTCTCCTGATCTCTTGACTGAAGATCCCCTCTGGCTCAAGCACCAGCCCAGAGCAAGTTAATTAACCCTGGTGCCCCCCAGGGATAATGCTCACCTAAGCTGTGGGAGACAGGAGGGTTGAGAGGATTTATTATTATTATTATTATTAATTAAATAGTGCTACAAATGCCTGGTCCTCAAGAAAAAGAGTCACTGCATTCCTGCAGCCTGCAGTCACCCTGAATCCTGTGCAGATCCAAGGGGAAGGAAAGGGAAAGAAAGGCAGTGGAAAACCCCTCCTGCCCCCCAGGTGAGTGGTGTGTTCAGCAGGACAAACCCTGCAGTGGGGCTGAGGGAGGAGACTCCCCCATGGGAGGTGGGGCAAATAAACACCTTGCTATTCACTTATATTATGTTTTTTATTAATTCGTTTTTTTCTGAGCTGGAAATAGCTCTTTCCCTTACAGATCTCCAACTTCTTTGGTCCAAAGGTCCTGGCCAAGCTCTCTGTTTTCCCTCTGCCATGTAGGACTGCTCATGGCTCACCATTCAGCTGTCCCACCATCACAGGGGCCTCACATGGCCATGGGGAATCTCACCACAGAGCTGTGGCTGAGCTGCTTTTGTGCTGCCAAAGGTGCAGGATCCCCACGGCCCCAACCCACTGGAGAACACTTCACCAGCAGACACAGACCCAGGCACACGTGGGCAATGGAGGGTTGTTCAAGAAAAACACACTTCATAGAATCATAGAGTCATTAAGGTCAGAAAACACCTCCAAGATCATTAAGTCCAACCTTCAACTCAGTCCTGACTTTGATCACCAAGTCCAGCCTTCCAGCAGCTTAACACAGTGACTCTTCCTTTGGGTGACTAAACCCAGTGCAGAATTTGAGCACAAAGAGCTGAAGTTTTCAGATTAACATCTGCCCAGGGATGGGCTCGTCACAGCCTGTGGTGTCCAGAGCACAACTCCCACTCCTGGTGGGGTTCAGCCCCCCGGGATTTTGGGGGGCATCACTGTCATCAGAGATGCACAACCACTGAGCACCACAAACAGGTTCCAGCAGCCCAGGTGTCACCCAGACAAGCTTCATTTTAAGATCTAAGAGCAGAGACACATGGATTTCACTAACATTAAATCACAAGACAATTAAATAAGGGCAGAAACTATGTGCTTTTTGAGGATCCTAAATCAGAGGCAATGATTCATTCTCAGGCCTCTTAAGTGAGGATGTTTAATGACATGGGGGGAAATGAAGCCTTTTTGTAGCAGGAAAGGAAACACTGCATTCTGTAGCAGCAGTTACTGAATAATTAACCTGCACCCCTGTTATTACCTAAGAGTATTTGCCATTAACCCAATAAAAAGATCATATGAGGCGTGAATGTGAAGAATAACAATGAAAATGTACTGCTTAGAGCTTGTATAATTGATATAATGCTCAAATTTCTGTCTGAGTCTAATATGGGATAGGTAGTATAAATCAGTGAACATAAACAGACAAAACTGGTTTGCTGCTTATTCCAGCTTTGTTTCCAGAGCTGAGAAGTCTGACCCACTCGTGCTGCCATTATCAATCATCCAAAGCAGGTAGCCTTCCACTCTGTGACCAGGAAGGTCAACTCATTTGTGCTACACTTGACCAGACATGATTTTTTTTTTTGCATGCTGCCAAAATTGCAACCTTTTCATGGGAAGGGAAGCAAGAGCTTGGTGGAGAATGTCAGCACAGCCAGTGATGATCCCTGACACTCTGTGAGAAGGGCCCTCTGGAGACATCTCCTGCAACTCTCAAACAACCCTTGCTGGAGAAAAGGTGTCATTTTCCCTTTTCCATAAGCAAAGAAGCATTTTAAAATTATGGATGAAAGGCCTTTGACTGATCTGGCCTTTTATCCACCAGAGCCTACAAGCCCTCACAAGGAGAATCTTTTTGTCAGTGGACTCACTAATCTTCACTTTCTTGATTAAAAAACGGGTAAATGAAAACCTTTGTGTTTTATTTACACATTAGCTCAGTTTCCAGAAGTTTCAGCTCAGACAGGGAGTTCAGAACATACAGAAACAACAATTTTAGTTGTTTACAGGCTGAAGTTAGTTATTATCGAGAAACACACAATTGGTAAATCAAAATAAAAATTAACAAGCCCCATGGGTAATTATCCTTCAAAATTGATGCCAGACAAACCTCATTGTGTTGTGCCATTCCAGGCGGTTTAAGTGACCTTCAGTGTTGCTGTTTAAGGTGGCCTGATAATGATTTGATTATTATTTCATGCAAATTAAGAGTTACCTCTCCTAAAAGAGCTGATTTTCAATTTCATCCCTATTTGCACACTGCAGGAAACCATGACATTTCCGAGCTCTCCAGAGTCTTTTACACTGCCTGGCACTATTAGATGCTGTTATCCAACTCTTTTTTTCTCCTTAATTTATTTCCTAAATCATTCTTTGTTGTCACCACAGCTGAACGGGTCCATCACCCAAACACACACCCTGTCATGCAACAAACAGCTGGGTTGTCACAGTGTCCTGGCCAGCAGCTACACAAGAGACACAAGGTCCATCAAACCACAGTGTAGACCTGCAGCAGTCAAAGCACTTAAACACCACCAACATCTGCTTGTGGAAAAGCAAAACTTACCCTCCTACTCTTAAAATAATAATAAGGAAGGGATTAAGAGAGAGTTGGGGGTCCCTAACAACACAAAACCCAACTTCTCTGCATGAGGTCCCCAAATGCAACGTCTGTTTAGTGGGTTACATTTTTTGTCTGGGTTATTGGCACTTACATTTGAATAAGAATTCAAAATCAAGCAAAAGCTTCAAGGTCAACAATCTTTTTATAGAAGCAAAAACCCATGAGAGAAGTTTAAGCAATTATTCTTAGCCAAAGGAGCAGTCAGTTCAAATAAATGTATCAAAGCCTCCAAATTATCAGCAATAAAATCTTATGTCATCTAATAACGACAATGATGACAATAATTACCGGGACAATGATTTAAAGCTCAGCATTTTTATAGTACCTAATTTAACAAGTACAGGTTGCTTATTTATGCCTTTCCAGACTGAAAAAGCGGTTGTCTGGGTTTGTTTATTGTCTAAGTTTAGACTTCTGGAAGACAAAAAGCTTCGAGAAATTACCACGCAAAGTTCCTGCAGAAGGAGATGCTGATGGAGGCACAATTTTAATAGGCAGAAAGTTTGCAGACATCAATCTGTACCTACAAAGAAAATGGAAGAAATAAGAGCAGAGGAGTGGCAAACTGGTGGAAAAGAAAGTCAGAATTTAGAAACCAGCTCAACAACCATCCAAGTTGATTTCTCACGTGGAAATCATCCAACCTTATTGATTCTGTGATTCTGTAGAGAGCAGGAGAAGGACTCTCTGATTAGTAGAAAATCCTACAGGAGTTTTGCCCTGTGTGCTCCCGTTTGCATCCTGGCCCACGTTCTGTGTCACATCCCTGAGAGGAAAACTCACTTCTCCACATGCACAGTGTGCAGAGATTTGTGGTGATGAGCAGATCCCGCCTTTGGCCCTTTGCCCACTCCAGGAAGCACAGTCATTCTTTATCCCAACCACTGGCTTTCCCTAAAACAGAATATCAGCTCTGAGATTCCAGCGGAACCTGCCGGCTCCTGTCCTTCTGAGGAGTCCATAATGACATGGACACGGTCCATAATATCTCACTCCTGCCAACACAGTCATTTCTGTGCATAACTTTCACATTCTGACCATCTGCAGGACAAGACCTGACCCAGCCCATTTTTCAGGCTGGGAAAAGGAGCACAGCTCTACCAGGAGGTGTCAGTTCTCTTGCCTGAGTAAGGGCTGGATTCAAGCCATACCAGTGTGGGAGGTCATCTCACTATGTGACTTATTAAAGGTTTACCCTTCCCTGATAAAGCTGGAGGGCTGTACAACCTGCAGTGCCCCAGGAAACAAACTAACAAATTCTGCATAAGTATTTGATACAGTTTTTGTACAAATCCACAACATGGATGGACAAATCAGCACTCTGTCATACAGTCTGGGGATTTTCAAAACCTCAGCTTGACACCTGTACATACATATATTTTTTTTTTTTCAATGTGATGGCTGGGGAGCTACAGTTATTTTTCTGGACAAGGAACATACTAATCTTAAATTTCTGTACAGGTACCAAAACAAGGTGCTGGACAAAAAGAAGTTCCTAATTTGCCATTCATCTTTCCTATTTCAGCTGTGGGGGGGGGAAGATGGAATAATAAATTCAGTTCTGTGTTTACAACTCTAAAATACTTGTGAGATTCTTGGAGTCAATGGAGCCTGCAGGTCACTCAGCATTTTTGCCATGGTATGGTGTGTGAGAGACCAAATGAGTCGTACCATTGCAGAGCACAGGGCTGTAATTATGATAAAGGAAGAGAATTAATCTGTCACCGGGGAATTAATGCAGCGGACAGACTTTCTTTTACAAGAGCTCCAAGCAACGTTCCTGGATCAAGGCCTGGAGTTATATTTGATATTAACAGAATGCATGTTGTCCTCCAGTAGTTACTCTGAGCAGGAATTAACCCTTTGCTGGTGGCCTTGAGCCCAGCACCAGGGAAGGGAGGAGGCCTGAGGGCAGAGCCCGGGTCCTCCTCTGCTCCAGGAGGCTCCAGGGCTGCTTCCAAACGTGGGAGTAAATGCAGAAAATGGAGAAATCATTTCATTACCATTAGTGGGACGTGTAGGGAAAACACCACCTAAGGGGAGCTGCCCTGGAGCAGTGACCTGATGGAGCAGCCAGGGGTGTGACACACCCTTGGGAAGGACCAGCCTTCCCACCCACAGGAGAGCTGGAATAACACTGCTGGATTTTACCCACCTGGGGCAGGCAAAATGCTGTTTGAGTCTCTTCATGCCATGGCAGGGTTGTTGGAGCAGAGGCAGGAGCAGTGGTGATGCTCTGGCACAGCTGGGTTATGAGGTGGCTGTGCTGGCACAGGAATTTACCCTGCATTTCACTGCACACAGCAACACACGTTCACAAAGGGCAACAGACAGAGGAAACCTAAAATAAAAAATTAAACAGCATTATTACCACAAAAAAAATAAATGTTAAAACCCAGCAGAAACTGAGAAACAAGGCTACGAATTTCTGCAGCAGTGAAAAAGGATTTTATAGCCAGTTTTCCTCAAGCCCCAAACATGTTTTACACAGGGCCATTACCAGATATCTTTGTAGGAAAACAAAATGCAGCTCGATTTCCTACAGCAGTGTTGATGCAGTGACTATCAGCTCCAGAGATTTCTCCGTGCAGTGACTGGTGGTGATGAAAAACGATCTGTAAGCTGTGTCAAAACAAAGGCACAGTTTGAGCAGTCTGTGTAACGAGCAGCACTGATGACACCACGGAGGGGCTGCGGCCAACACACTGTTTCCAAACACGGAGCTGAATCGAGACGTTTATTGACACCAGATCAGCGTGTTTGCCTCGACTGCAAACAAATATTTGGCACGTCCTGAAAACAAGGCTGGCAGGACCGTGCAGAGAAGCTCCTCTGCTCTCTCAGGAGGGGTTTGCTCAGAGGATGTGTCTGACAGCCCAGCCCAGCCCAGCCCAGCCCGGCTGGCAGGAGCACACCAGCCTCTGAGGGAGGGTATTCCCTGAGCAAACATTCCCCCTGAGGCACTCCAGGAGATGGTTTAGTGGGCTAGGGGCATTCAGTCTGTCTTTGGGGTCTTTTCCAACCTTAGTTGCAAGCAGAGGTGAGCGATGGCTGTTCCTCCATCAGGAAAAGTTCTTTAACCACTCCTTGCAGCCCAGGCAGGTGGCACAGACCCATTTTTCTGTAATAACGTATGGATGAAGTGTTTCTGATTGCTAAGGGAGCAGAGCAGCTGCACTGAGTGTGTCACATGTGCTCTGCTCCAAACCTCACACGATCACTTCCTTGGGTTTGTTGTGTGTTCAGTATCTGATATGCACACAGAAACTGTTTCTGGACTGTTTCCACACACTCTTGCTATTCCAAAGCTCAGTGTTTATAAACAGACACTGGCCATCAGGAACACAAATTAAGTTCAAAAACCTGTTTCCCAGTCCTCAAGAAACAACTGGACCAACCTGGCACTTCATCCTTGAAGCTCTCCTCTCACCTGACATCTCTCAGCCCTCATTTCAGCACATTTCCATGAATGTCAGAAAATGCTTCAGGGAGGACATTTTCCTCATTTTATCCAAACAAGACAGACACCAATGTTTCTCAGAGATTTCAGGGAAGCTTCTGCAGTCAGGTTGTTGGGGATGGGAAGTGAAGCACTTGTAGAGCCAAAATCCTTGGATTCGGCTCCTCTCTTCGACACAGCCTTCACCCCTCTGGCTTTGCAAAGGATCATTCCCCTGTACTTATAGATAAAAATGTATTTTTATATTCTGACAGAAAGCACACACAGGAGGTTTCCCTCATGTTGCTTTTCAGTGAACACCCACCCTGTACCCACCCCATGGAGAACCCCACACCACCAGGTACCTCCACTGTGAGCGCCTACCCTGTTCCATCTGCACCTTCTGCTGCCCCCTCCAGGCACCATTTCCATCTCCACAGGATTTCTGTGTTTCCCTCTTCCATGTCAGGTCTGAGGGAGGCACAAACCCCCTCCTGTGCTCCCTGGGCTTCTCTGCTCATCAGTGACCTCGCTGAGCAGAGACCCGCTGGCTCCATCCAGCAGCAAACACCCTTCCACAGCTCCCTAGCTGAGGGAATGTCACGATTCCCACAAGCACTCTGGCAAACTGTGGCTTTAGTCATGAATCATGTGATACATTTCAAGTCTTTATTTCAAATTAATGGCTGCAGCAGGTATGGCTCAGCAGAGAGCAGGTCCAGCAGCTGAGACACCAGTCCCAGCAGCACTCCTGGTCTGAGGAGCCTCTGCAGGGAAGACTAAGGATGCAGCAGCTCTGAATCCCTCCTGGGAAGAGAGCTACCCAATTTAACAGTGCCCACTGTGCTCTGTAGTTAATAATCCATCTGCAGCTTAGCCAGAATTATTTGGGAAGGAGAAAATCTGCACAAAGCAGCATCAGAGCTGGCCTTGGGAAGGGGGCTGGAGCCAGGGAAGAGCCCCCAAGGCCAGGAGGGAGAGCTGGGCTCACATCCTTGTGTGAGGCTGAGGCACATTCCACCCTCCAGAGCTGCTTCCCCAGCAGGGACCGACTGCAGACCAACAAATTATGAACTTCTTACATTTAGGAGACACCACTGACATCAAACCCTGAGTGCATTTCCAGTGCCTTTGGCACAACACATCCAGGAGAATCAGCAAAAGGGGGCTCAGTCACTTTTCCAACCCAGTCAGTGCCTGGGAGCCATTTGTCCCTGGGCACTGAGGCACAGAGCTGAGCATCCTCATGTGCTGGGAGGCTGGAGACTCCTCCTGTATCCCTGGAGATGGGACCCCCATCCCTGGATCACCTGTCATCCACAGCACAGCGAATCCCCCATTTGGGACACACATATTTTTCTTTCTTAATACTTTTTCCCATCTTCATAGGTCAGGATTTTTCTGAATTCTCAAATTACTCCTCATTAACACGAAAAAATAATTTCCATTTGGCAGCATTCCCATGAATAAAACATCCCTGGGATAATAATCTGCTTGGGGCAAGAGGTGCCGACCTTCAGAAATGAGGACAGATCTTGACTTGTATTCAGGAGTGAAAAAATCCAGTGACTTCCAAAGTTCTTTAGCTTGGAGGAGACCAGGGAAAATTTTCCATTGCTGAATATTCACATTTCAGGCGTTTTTGAGCTAATCATTTGGGTTCAGAATTTTTGCACGCTGACTGCCAAAAATAAATTACTATGAAAATGGGATGCTGTGTGTGGGTGAGCTGGGGAAACGCTGCACATTTTGGAGGTCACTGCAAGAAAAGGAAAACACCAGCAGCCAGCCCAGATGAGGCAATGGCCCCACATCGACCTCTGCTCACAGGAGGCTCCAGCATGTGGAGAGGAGGGGCAGGAACGAGGAGGGCAGAGGGTCAGCCAAGCATTTTAAGAGGTCTCACCTTGATTTTTGGCAGGCCAGCTGAACTACAGAGCTCAATATCCTCTCTGAAATATTTATCACTCGAGGTACCACATCATTTGCAATCCTGCTTTTGAGGAGCTCAGCACAGTGGGAAACTCAGCTATTGATTACAGGCTGTTTCTAATTACCGTGGCACTCTGATCCTCTCCGTGTGATCGGGCTCCGTATCGGAAAAGGCTCCGTTCCCTCACTTTAAATATGGCTCTGGTGGTGACTTTCCCTTTGTTGATGCCAACAGGCACACACACAATTGCTTTTGCAATTCAAGACAACGTACACAGAGGTTCACACTCTGCTCCTGGCCCTGGGCCACGTTTCCCTCCAGTAATAACATTCTGTCTAGAAACAACCAAGCTGATAATTTGCACCATCAAGCCCCTGTAACATAATGTGCCAGCTATTTAGGACTGGAAAATTTATCACTCAACAAGAGTCAAGGATCTTGTACCAAGCAATACTCCCACTTCCCATTTCCTGTCATTCCACTTGTTCCACGCAATTTGCCAAAACACCTCCCTCCCCCGTCTGGCTGCAGATTTAGGAGCAGTGTTTTTATACGTGTTCAACTGGCCACAGAAAGCCCAGGATAAATTTATCTCCAAAAGGCAGCTATGCAGTGTGTCACAGATGGGAGTAATATGTCCAAATGGATATAGATATTGAACTCAGACACCAGGGCAATTAGACGCTGTCACATTAACAACACCACCCCCTCCGTGGAGGGGAGGGAAGGGAAGGGGAGGGATTTCCTCCTGGATGGGACTCTGGCCATTTGTCACAAGTGGTGCAGATGACCAGTAACAAAATGTGGGAAATTCATCATCATAATGAATGACGACGAATGCAATTCCTTTCCATAACATGTTATCATTGCAGTAATTAACTACCTGGCTGTTCCTTTGTGTCCCCGTGGTGTTGCACGTAATCCATCACATTTTCCAGTGGTAACAGCACATTAAACACACCCTCAGCTGTGAAATTCCACAGCCTCAGCACAGAGGAGGTTCTTTAACACCCCAGCATCCCTCCCAGCCCATGTTTAGTCCCTCACAGATGCTGCACGATCCCCACTGCCTGTGGCACATACAGAGCTGCCTCGGGATGTGGCAGCAGGAGCTGAAGTGTTCCCTGCCTTGTGTGATCACAAATATATTTAAAATATTAAATAATACGCCTTCCCATTACAGTCAAGGACTAACAGGTTTACTCTAAGGGGCAGCACATTCCTGTGCTGTATCAATACAGATGTATTGCTCCAGGCAATCCCAGAAATTAAACTCTAATGATGCACAAACCTGATCCCGAATTTCCTAAATAAAACTGCAACAAACATTCCAAAGTGAGATGGGTCAACATGGGACAGCACAAGGGTCTGTGGGGCATAAATCCACTTGTGTTTTTCCCTTTATTTGTGGAGGACACAGGGGTGGGGAGAGGGGCTTTGGGCAGGCGAGGAGGAGGAGGAGGGCTGAGCACACAGTGCTGGGGATGCTCACAGCTCCAGCCTTTGCATTCCTGCATCCCCCCCTGCACAGCTGCAGCATTCCACAGCCTGGTAAAGCACCAGAGAGTTCAGTTAAAGTTTTTTCCTTCAGGTAATGGATGGAAGGTCAATGACTTTTCTCTCTCACAAAGCTGCTTTTCTATATTTCTGTTTTATATTTCTGAATTCTCTATTTTCCCTCCCAGAAGAGGGGGACCTGGTCACACCCCAGCTGCTGCTCCAGCTTCCATTTCCTCCTCAGCCATGAGCTTCCCAGCTCCTCTTTACTCTAATTCTCTCTACTCCTTCCATCTCTAAGACAATCCTTCATTTATTCTGACGAAAGGATTAACCTGGAAGAGAGGTTTTAAATATCCCAGGCTCCTACACATCTGCTTTATTTCCCATAGCACTTCGCTCCACCTCAACAGGAGGAGTCCAAGCCAGAGAAATTCCCAAGGGACAGACAATAAAAAAGCTGGGATGAGGAGGTGGTTGTGTAAAAGCCCACACACTACAGCTCCACGACTGCCAGGGATGAGAAAGGAGTTGGTCACTGCAGACAAATGAGATTAGCACAGCAAGACACTGGATGATTAAAACACTTGTCCTTATGCAAAATTCAGCAGATATTCCCAAATGTCAGTGCCAGACAAATTGCACCATCTGGTCAGTGAGATAAAGTCT